AAAAAAAAAAAAGAATAAAAGGGCTAAAGGTGCTTCCAAGACTGTCCTTTAGGGGCTAGGGAGGGTGGAGCTCCTCACTGGTTTTGTGATTTTATATATCTATAAAAATAGTAGTGAGTGATAATAAAAAACCAAAGTAAACCCAAACCTTTCGCCTAAGAGTCGGGTCCGACTCTGGCATTCCCATGTGTCACCACAGCTACTCCTTGTGGTTGCTTTCCATGGGACACGTCTGGGTGGGCTTGAACTGACAACCTGGGATTGAGCGTAAGCCATTTGCACCACTGAGGGACTTAATAAAGCCTCTGGGCGTGGAGGGTAACGCTCACAGAGCATTAGTAGTTGAGAATGAAAAGACCCAGGCAGGGTTCAAAGACTGTGAAGCTGGCTGGGGGGCTTCCTGGTGGAGGGGGACATTTTAGCTTGCGTGTGTCGGAGACTGTGAGGATGGCTCGGGATGGGACAGTGTTGCTCATAGGCTCGAGATGAGCTGTACTGTTGATAAGACCTGATAACAGCCAGCTAGCGGGAGTGTGATGAGGACTGGGGTTTCTTAGCAGAGTGGATTCAAAGCTCTGAGCTCTTGCTGCTTTATTGAAGGACTGTGGTCTCTTCCAGACCCTTGAACATTAACTTTCAAAACACTTCTTAAGCTCAGAGACTCGGGGCCGGCATCTGGTGAGCGGTACCCCGCAGTCGCTGGTGGGTGCAGTGGGAGTTCTGGGGGCTCCCGGCTCTTTGAGGGGCTGCCGACGAGCCTGCTCTGCCAGCAGCCCTTGGGAAGACTGGATTCTAGGGGTCTCTGGGGAATTGGGGTCCGAGGACACACCCAGGGGATGGGACGTCCACGAGGTATTCAGGTTGGACTTTGGTGGGGGCAGAGACGGGGGGCATCCTGGAGGGTCAGGCTGGGTGGCCATGGTGGGGGGCCAGGAGCAGGAGCTCTCTTGAGTTCTAGATTCTTCCAGTGATTTGTGGGGAGGGGACAACTGTGAGATCAGGGGGTAGTGCTGGGAGAAAGGGGTCGGTTCTGTGTCCCCTGGGCTGCTGGGGTCTGTGGGGGCAGCTGAAGGCCAGGAGGGAATGGTGCTGTCTTGGCTGGCCTCTGAGGGGTTGTCTGAGCTGTGTGACGTGTTCGAGATCTCAGGGTCTTGGAGAGATGACAAATCAATGGGCAGGGAATGGGGTTGGCATTCTGGTGAATTCTCTTCCCCGGGGTGCCAGCTTGTCTGGTCTGGTACCTCAAGCTGGGGGGAGGAGGTGGGAAGAGAACAGACAAGTTGCTTGGAGGGGAGGTTGTCAGGACAAACAGGGCTGGGGGTGCATGGGGGCACGCTAACCAGGCCAAAGGCTTCGTCCGAGTCCCCTCGGTGGCAGCAGTCCAGGCTCTGGCTTTGCCGCAGGCTCTCTGTGCTCTTGACTCCCACGCTCAGACTGTCCAAGATCTCGCTTAGCAAATCCAGTTCCTCCCCGGACCCCAGGAAGCTGCTGTCCAGGGCATCCTCTGCCCATGAGTGCCTGGTGTCCTCAGGGCTCCGAGGGGGCGTCCTGGGTGAGTGAGGGTGGACAACCTCAAGTATTCACCTATACTCCAACCCTAGTCTGGTGGCTCTGGGGTTTCAGTCCTGACCTCCCATCCACACTTACTCAAGGGGCTCAAAGGGTCCCTCTTTTGGCCGGTGTCTCCTGCTGGGACGGAGGGGTCGGTTCTGCAAAGGACAGATTTAGAAGGTGGGGTGCAAAAAATGGTGTAAAGAGGGACAGCTGGTCTTTGGGGAGAAGAGTCATCTGGAGTAGGAGAGAAGGGAGACAAGGTCCCTGGGGGGTGCAAATGGTTAACCTGCTTGGCTGCTAACTGAAAGGTTGGCAGTTCGAGTCCACCTGCAGGTGCCTTGGTAGAAAGGCCTGATGATCTACTTCTGAAAACTGCCTTGGAAACCTCTCAGAGCATAGTTCTACTGTGAAACATGCGGGTCTCTGCGAGCGATTACAAACCACCTGCTGGGGGGAAGGAAGGGTGTAGCAAAAGGAAGTGAGGGGCTCTGTACCTGTCCAAAGTGATGGGTGATTGGCAGGCGCTGTTGTAGACGATCTGAGCGGCTGGTTAGGGACGGGGTCCTCAGGGAGCCCCCCCTTTGCAGACAAGAGACCCCATCCTGGGGGGAGGGAGAATGAGGCCGGAGCCCCTACCCCCGCCCTCCTCTTCCCCTTGGCCATTGGTCTTACCTTGTACATCAGCAAGCTCTGCATGCCCTTCAAGCCGCTCTTGGCCTAGGGAGAAGCCAAAAGTGAATCAGGCTGGAGGGTGGCCTGGCCCTGTGCATTTTCAATGGAAGCCTCCAGCTCCCTGGAATGGCTGTCATCTTTATGTCCTGCCCTCTGTCCGTTTCTCTTTTCACTGGTTTGTCTACAAGTGCCTCACGGACCACTTCAATATCAGCTTTTATCTCTTGGGCTAGTAAGAGTGTATTCCTGGGAGCAGAGTCCCTGCATGGCAGAAACTGGATGTTTAGTGAGCTTATCTGCAAAGTATAAGCTTGGAAGTCTACTCCCAGGGGCCTGTTAGTTTTAAGGAATCACTCCAGGAAATCCCGTGGAACACAGTTCCACTCAACAGCCACTTGGTTTTAATAATTATCATTTTTTTTCCAATGGGGCGTGACAATAACAACTGGAAGGCGTGTCAGTGGTCAGAGGTGGAGAATAAAATCTAATGAGCAATTTTGAGTTGTAAAAATTTGCTCCTAGTAAAACTGGAGTTGGGGGAAAAAACCCACGAGGACAGAAGGTGCAATGGTAGGATCTGAGGGTACATGTTTTTGCCCCTAAGTCTTAGATGTTCATTCGATAAGAAATTAATCTAAGGGGGAGGGGTGGGCAGGGAGAAAAGTGGAACAATGAATGAATGGAAATCCAAAGTCTCTGTAAACTTTAATGAAAATGAATAAAAAAAATTAATCTGACTAAAAAGAATAATGGTAAAATAGGAAATGAAATGTTGAAAGGATTGTTAATGTAACTGCAGGTACTGTTTTGATTAAAAAAACCCTTGCAACTAAAATGTTGGTGGAGTGTCCTCTTTACCTCTGTCACCCGACCGAATGTGGCTTGTCCCCCCCACTCACCGAGCGGTAAATGTTCCTCACAGCTGGTTGTGTCTTCGCCTTGACCGAGTGCAGGAGAGCACCACCACCTTTCTGAAAAGACACCCAGCAACACACAGATGTGACCTGGAGTAGGGGAGCTGTCTTCCTACTCTGCGCTGTGCGATGCTGGGCACGCTGTCTCCCTCTCTGAGCCTCAGTTCCCTCCTGAATGCTCAGGGATACCTCAGGACTGTCGTGAGGTTAAATCAACTCTAGAACGAGCACCGCTTGGCACTTTACCTTGAGGTTGTCTGCCCAGAGCTGGTAAGAGCGGAGGGCACCTGGGGTGAGAAGAGAGCTGGTTATCCCAGTCCTGCTGGGAGGCGGGGGACTTCGGGGGTGGAGGACGCGGAGGGAGGCTCAGACTCACCTGAGGAGCCCTCGCTGCTGGTGATTTCCTGCTCGAAGAGGTCTGAGAAGCCCTCCCCGTTGTTGAGCTTCTCCAGTCTGCCTTCTATGAACTGTGGAGGGGAGGCAGGGGAGAGGTAGGCCAGACACACACCTGAGGGTGTCCCTCTCCTCCAGGACCCTGGAGACTACACACACGTACACACACCCCAGCCAAAGGTTCAAGCTGCTCCCCGCAACCAGGCCTCAGGTCCAGAAGTTGGACGCCTTCAGCCTGGTACACCCCTTCTCTGAACCTGCAGCAGTGATTCTGCCTTCAGGGACCCGATAACTAAGCAGTCCTCTCCCATCCACCCAAAGGGGCTGGCTATTCTGGACCTACGAGTCCCCCTGACTCCCATTCCCCTTAACTGTTCCCTTGCCCTAAGCGATCCAGGAACATCCCCCCAGGGCCCTGGAAACACGACTCATAGAATCTGAATCCAGCCCCGCCCCTTTAAAGACCTTGTCGTTCTCGGGAACCTGAGTGGAGTACCTCACCTGGCCGGCTCCAGCCCCGCCCTCAGTATCCCAAGAACCTGCCCCTCCTGCGGCGGCTCCGCCCCAGGAAGCCCAGAGTCCCTCCCCAGGCCAGCCTTCGGGGACCCAGGACGCTGCCCTGACTCAGCCCTGCCCCCAGAGTACAAGGAGTCCATTCCAGCCTCTTGTCCTTGGCCTGGCCCTACGCACTGGGCCTCAGAAACCTGTTCAACTCTAGGGAATTGGGATTCCATTCTAAACCCTCCCCTTTAGCCCCGCCCCCAAAGACTCAGGAGCCCTCCTTGGCCCCGCCTACAGGGAGTCAGACACAAGTCCCGCCCCTCGGCCCCGCCCCACCCATAGAGAACTCAGGCACCAGCCCTGGTCCCGCCCATAAGAGCTCAGGTGTCAGACCCAAGTCTCCCCCTGGCCCCGCCCCGCCCATAGAGAACTCAGGCACCAGCCCTGGTCCCGCCCATAAGAGCTCAGGTGTCAGACCCAAGTCTCCCCCTGGCCCCGCCCCGCCCATAGAGAACTCAGGCACCAGCCCTGGCCCCGCCCACAAGGAGTCTGGAGTCTCAGTGCCAGCCTCGCCCACGAGGACTCAGAAGTCGGCCCTAAGTCCCACCCTTTGGGCATTGCACTGTCCCTAGGACTCAAGAGCCCACCTCATCCCCGCCCACAGCAACTCAAAAGACAGCCTTAAGCCCTTCTTTCTGGCCCCGACCCGCTAATAAGAACTAAGCCCCGCCCACAGGCATTCAGCCCCGCCCACAGGGACCCCAAATCGGTCAAAAGCCCCTCCCCTCTGCTCTCGTCCGTCCCACAAGGCCTCAAGTCCTCTCCAAACGCCTGCCCTCTGGCCCCGCCCCCTTATAAAAGCTCAGCCCCGCCCACAGAGGCTCAGGGGTCTGTTCCAAGTCCCTCTCATCTGGCCCCGCCCACAAGAACTCGGCCCCGCCTACAGAGATCCAGGAATGCGCTCCAAGCCCCTCCTTCTGGCACCAGCCACCCTGCGCTTAAGTACTCGAAAGTCATGCACTCTAGAACTGGCCGAGCTCCAAGGAATCAGGACACAGTTTAGTCACGCCCCTTTGGCCCGCCCCCAGCCCCACCTCTCCAGCCGTGGTCCTGCCAGGAATTATGAGTCCTTCCCCCTAAGAGTCCTGCCGCACCTGTTTGAACAGTTGCAGGTGGACAGCCCTGCGGTGGAAGTCCTGCAGTGAAGCTCCAGATTTCTGAGCCAAGAAGGTTTCTTCGCTGAAGGTCACCGGCTGGCCCTGGAAGAAGAACCCGCTCCCTGCTCTCCCCATGACCCTCCGGACTCGGCTCCCTTCATTCTACCCTGTGTCTACGTAGCAAACATTCTCTGAGAGCCTGTTGTGTGTCTAGCCTTATGGGGGCCTTTTTGGTCACGAGAAAGACTTGAGCTTTTACCCAAGGCAGGTGGGAGCCCTGGAGGGGCAGAGGAGGGTCAGGGCTGATTTAGGTACTCGCGGGCGCCTCTGGTGGATGCACCAGGTACAGACCATGAAGGGCTAGAGCCCCAAAAGGTCCGGGACAAGGCGGAGATTTCAGTGGCCCAGGTGAAAGACGACGAACAGAGAAGAAAGTAGGAAGACTTAAAATGTAGGGGCAATGAGGATGTCGGCTAATACTGGAAAATCTCACAGTGATTTTTTAGAAAAGTGAGGAACTGGAGTTTGAGGGCCATGGGACCAGATGGGGAATCCTGACTCTAACCCTGACCTGCTGTGTAACGTTGAGTCTGGTTTCCTCTATGCAAGTGGCGCTATAACAGTATCCATCTCACAATATAATCATCGCATTGAATGAGATTCATAGCATTTATGGAGAGTGCCAGGGTGCCGGGCACTTGTCCAAACCCTTTGCATATGCTGATAAATAAGGTCTTTTCAGACTCATTTGCATACGTGACTCGCAATGCCTGCCTTCTGGGTAGGTACTACTGGAATCCCATTTAGGTGTCATTATTGTGACTCCGTTAAGGACCCCCTGGGGCTTCTCCCCTACCGTCCTCGCTGCTCACCGGACTGTAGATGAGCGCCTCACGGTACCCTCCAAAAAGCAAAGCTTGGACTTTTAGGAAAAGACGGGACACTCCTTCCCCGGGGGCCAGGGCGACCTTCCTTAGCCGCAGCCTCAGCAGGGACACCTAGAAGAGGACAACAGGGCAGGTGCATAGACATATAAGGGCCGCCTGCCTTCTGATGCAGCACGAAGCCGAGCTGGAAGGGGTTCCACTGACCACGTCCGGGGGCAGCGCCTGCACGTCGTCGAAGGGCGTCTCCAAGGTATTGGAGTCCACATTCATCATCACGACGTCCTCCAGGGCTTTGTCCTGGACTCTCTGCAGGCGGTGGGGATTGCATCTCAGAGCTCAGGCTCCCTGGTGGGGGAGGGGGCTGGGGATGGACAGGAAGGGACTCCCGCCTGCCCTCGTGCTTAGGCATGCCCCCACTCACCTCCGCGAGACTGGCGTGCACCCCGATGAGGTAGGGCATGGGCGCACTGCGGACCAGGGGGTAGTGTCATACAGGTGCCACCCCTGGATCCCCATGTCCGTTCCCCAGAGCCCCTCCCGCTCACCAGCAATAGTCCAGCAGGTGCGGAGGCAGCGTGGGGATCAGAACGTGCTCCCAGCACATAGGGTACAGGAGAGCGCAGGACGCATGGACACATGAGGTTAGCTGGGTAGAGTCGGGGTCATGGAAATTAGGCTCTGGGGCAATGATTCTCCCCACTATATTACCAGGCCCACCAGTCTCCCTGCTCTACAGCATTAAAGTGAAAACTCCAATCAGGAAGGAGACGCTCACTGACCCCACCTCCAAAATAGTGAGCTTTCTCCTTGGGACTGAGCCGTCTTCTAGGCCTCTTGTGCCCCGCCCCTAGAGGTGGAGCGATAAGGCTGACGTATCCTGACCCCGCCCACAGAGGGCAGAATCAGCACGCATTGCCCCGCCCTCGAGGGGGTGGAACCAATACAACTTAGGCCCCACCCCCTATGAATGGGTCCAACAGCGGGCCCTCCTTGGCCCCGCCCCTGGGGGAGCGGAGCCTGTATCCAGCTCTCTCTGCCCTCATAGGAACCAGCATCTAGGGCAGCCCAGTACCTCATTTAAGAGCTAAAATTTAGCTAGCGCTGATCTCAACGAGGAGCCTTTGAGGCGCCAGTGGTGAGCACTCGGCAGCTAATCTAAAAACCCACGGTTAAAACTCTCCAGCATTCAACGAGGGAAAGAAGCAGCGGGCCTTGGGAAACCCTATGGGGCAGGGCTTCCCTGATCTGTAGGGTCAGAAAAAGGAGTCTAGGGCAGGGCGTTCAATTTTAGTTTGGTTCACCCTCCACGAGGGCGGAGCTAGGCTTATTTCTATCCTAGAGCATGGAGCTCCCAAAGAGGAACCATTCTAACCCTGATCACTCCTCAGAGGGCTGGAACGGATTTAACTAGCTGGAAAGTAGCAGAGAACTTGGCTCTCTGACCACGCCCATTGGAGGCGGGACTTGTCTCACGGCTCCGCCCCGGGGCGGAGCCTTACACCCCCCACCCCACCCCCGCCCTCCTGCCCCGCCTACGGTGCTGAGCTTGCTGGCGATGACCAGGACTCTCCTCTCAGCCAGAAGCGCCGCGAACAGCCCCACGATGTTCTCGTAGGTCACCGCCACCACCAGTTCCGTTAGGTTCCTCTGAGGAGTTAGAGAGAGAGAGGCACGCTGGGCACGTTCGGACACCAGGACGTCTGCTCGTCCCTCCCAGGCCTCTACTCACGTTCTCCGGGATGGACGGCAGACGGTCAGAATCCGGGGCCACGAAGCAGGAAAGCTGGTGGGGAGACCGGCGGGGGACTAGTTAGTCGGAGCCTGGCCTCCACTGCATGCCCGGCCTCCCGGGTCTCGGGGTCTGCTCACCGGCCTGCTAGTCCCTGGGGCAGTGGGCAGGCTGCTGTGTGAGCTGGAGAGTACCAATCCGTTGCCCTGGGATGGAGGGGTAGCTTGATGTGTATGTCCAGCGCCCAGCAGTCCCCCACCCACCCCAGGCCCGCCGCTGTGGGTGGGGGTACCCACCAGCTCCAGCCCCATCAAAGCCTGGGGTCCAGGCAGGGGCTGCTGTTGGAGGCTTAAAAGCAGTTTCTCAGCTTCTGAGACCTGGGTAGAGGGACAGGGTGTCTGAGCAAGAAGTGAAATGCAGGACTTGGTTCAGCCTGGGGGATGTATGATCTGAGTGGGGCTCAGGGTAGGCTGGTGCCGGGGTGGGGGTGGGGGGACTGGGGTGCAGGAAGAGGTAGGGACTAGGACTCTGGCATTGGCGGGAAGGGCTCACTTGGCCCTGGGTCAGCAGGTCCCCCACATTGTTGAGCAGCTTGTAGAAGACCTCGAACCACGGCAGGTGGCTGTGGGGAGGAGAGAGACACAGGCAGCCTCCAGCGGTGCCCCCTGGCCTAGGGCCACGCACCCCCATCCTACGCTCACCTCTAGCCCCCAGAACCGCACCTGAGGATGCAGAGGCAGCTCTGGGCACCGGCCCGCAGGCGGCAGAACCCAAACCTGCGCTTGCCAGCCAGATCCGTGAGGGCAAAGGTGAAGTGCTGGACCGCGGGGCTGGGGGGCTCACTGCAGGGGTGGGGAAGGTCAGAGAGGGTCAGAGAGAGACCTGGGCCTCCCACACACAGACCACCAACAGCATGGGTCCCTGGGTCCCATCCCTGAGTCCCTGGCATCCTCTCCCTCCCATACCTTTCCACATCAAAAGGGAAGCAGAATTTGGGCACCATCTGCATAGCTTCCTGGGGGTAGAGAGAGCACACAGTATCTGCCCAATGGGCCTCCACTCTTGAGCACCTGGTCCCAGGTCCACAGGCCCCTTCTGCCTGAGGAACCAGCCCTGGCCTTGGAGGGGCAAGGAGCTAGCTTGCATACCTGGTCCCTGAAATCTGGGGGGAACTGTCGCAGGATGGCAGGATCTGTAGGGAAGGCAGGTGTGTTAAACCAGGCTCCAGGCACTCCCCCCAGTCACCCACCCCTTCTGGCCACAGCCCCACTCACCCTCCTGCAGGGAGGCTGGGCACGCTGCTTCGAAGAACCAGTCAAACACGGCAGGGGGACTCCCCCTAAGGAACAGGCGGGGGCTTAGGGGGTCCAGGACTTGCTCCGTGTCGTGTGCACTAGGCTATGCATGATAATGGTGTGTGCAGGGCCCTGTGCGGCTGTGATGGTGAGCTGATGACTGGGTGGGACTGTGTGTTCATGTGTGGCTGAGGATGACTGTGGGTGAATGTGTAAATGTGTGTAAGTGTCATTGTGTGAGCACACTGTGCACGGGTGTGCTGCATCCAGGGGAGCCCGAGTGTGATTGTGTGGGCAACAGCGTGTGACTGCATGAGTGGGCTTGGTTTGTGGGGCTGGAGTCACATTAAGGTCCCAGGGTGCTGCAAATGGTTTGCACTCAACTTCTTACTTGAAGGCTGGTGGTTGGAACTCACGCAGCAGTGCTGCAGAAGAAAGTCCTGGCAATCTTTAAGATCACAGCCAAGACAGAGTTTCCGGCTTGACTCCAAGGTAATGGGTTTGGTATATTTGTACTCATACTTCCCTCAGACTCCCTGAGAGAAAGTGTCACAAGGCCTCAGTGTTACAAACCCCCCCAATGTCTGCCTTCCTTCTCTGTCTCTACACCACCCAAAGGACCCTGGGCACTCGGGCTCGGGGAGAGAGATGGTGAGACAGTGGAGGAGGAGGGAGGAGACTAATCTCAGACCCACTGACCCGTCCAGGGACACCTGGAGTTTCTGTCCTGGATCCCCACATTGCGTCCTCACACTGGCACAAGCAGGCATACAGCCACTGGCTGCCCGAGTGAGCACACACTGGCTTTTGCGTTCGCCTGGATGCACAGGAGTCACTGGCTCACGGGGTTAGGTTCGTGGGGTTACACACAGGGGCCAAGAGTGACCCGGCTTTGCCCAGAGTCCACAGTGTGGCCTGCCAGTGAGTCCTGACCCTGAAACCTGTCACCTGCCCCATTCTCCTGGGCTCATTGTCCCCACCCTGCTGGGCCTGCCTCGTCCCAATTTCTGTCTCAGCCTGGGTCTAGGAATCTCCATCCAGGGGATGGGGGAAGGGGGCTTACTCAGCTCTGGATCCCATGATTTTGCAGGTGGCCGGCAGGCCCTCTCCCCAGGGGTCCCGGGGGCCTGTGTGGGCGCGGGGATAGGCCCCGGCCGGCTCAGCTTCCTGTGTGGCTGAGAGAGGAAGTTTGATGGGTGACGTCCCCGGAGGAGGCCCCTGCCCCCACCCACTGTGAGACCCAGGCATCCTGCCTCCTCATGTCCTAGGCGATGGGCACGAGGGGGGCTAGCTCAGAGGCCAGAGTCGTGGCCTGCAGGTGGACCCCAGATGGTCTCCACATCCAACCCAGCCACAGCCTTTCTCGGAACCCCACCCTGCAGCCAAACGCCCACAGCTCCTGAAAATGCTTCCCTTTCCCCTTCTCGTCCTCCCATGGTCATCTGCCTGGGTGTTCTCTATGGGGCCACTGCTGGGAGCTGGCCTGAGAGTGAGTAGGACCCTGGGGACATACACAGTGCAGACAGGCACTGGACACACACACAGCCACTGGGACATAGGCAGATAGGCAGGCAAACACACACACTAGTACAGATACACACACACTCAGACTCAGAACCAGACCCAGGACAGCTGCTAAGGCTCCCAGACCAACAGAGCACCAACAGAGGACAGACCTACAGATAACACACACACACACAGAGATCGGATCACTGTTGGGACTCATAGAATAGAGCACAGACAGCATACATATAAATCAGCACGAGACACTGTCATTTGTGTGAGACACAACCTGGGCAGATGTCAAGGTTCAGAGACACAGTGAGGCAGATGGAAGGACAGATGACAGACACATTTATGACTCCAAGACACAGCTGCCTGGTCAGTGCCTACCCTGGACTTTGGGACCCAGGCCCCTGCCCACTCACTGAGCAGCCAATCTGTCAGCACCAGGCCCATCCTGTAGGGGTGCCCTCCCCGAGGGAAGCATTAACTCCAGAGCACTTGACAGGTAGGTCATCAGTGCATTTATTTATCATGGGTGCACAGGTGGGGACACACACTTTTCTTGGCTCCTGGTTCCAGGCCTGTCTTCCCTCTAAGCAAGAACATGCCTTCACTTCAGATTAGCCAAGGAAGTCAGGGGCCAAGGGTGATCACGGTGGAGGCCAGGGCAGGTCAGTGGGAAGGGGAGGCTCACAGGGAAGGACCAAAGGCAAAACAGTGGCTCCTACAGGTACGTTGAACTCATGGGGTCAAAAGTGACAAGGAAGTCAGAGGCTGTGTGGAGCTGAAGGACAAGTGGGTGATGAGGCCAGAGCTCATAGGGTGTCTGTGCTCATAGGCACTGGAGATGGGGAGTTCAAGGGTCAGAGGGTCAGAGATTTGCAGGGCCACAGTAACACTGGAGAGGCTCAAGGTGTCAGAGGTATGCAGGGTCATAGTGACACTAGGAGCTTTAACAAGGGTGACAGGAAGATCAGAGGTAGCATGAAGCTGGAGTGCTGGGGTCAGAGCTGCAGTGGGCTTCATGGGGTGTCAGTGCTCATAGGGGCTGGAGATGGGAAGTTCAAGGTCATAGGCTCAGGTGTTCACCAGGCCATGGTGGTGGTGGACACTGGCAAGAAGATCCAAGGGTCACAAGGTCAGAGTTGGGCCAGGGGCGGCGGTGACCTGGAGGGGAAGTTCAGGGTCACAGGCAAGCAGGGGGGACCACGATGACACTGTGGGGGAGTTCAAGGGTCACGTGGTCAGAGGCAGGCTGGGCCGTGGTGACACTAGGGGGAAGTTCAAGGGTCACGGGGTCATAGGCGGGCCAGGGGCTACGGTGACACTAGAGGGCAGTTCAAGGATCATGGGGTTGGAGGCAAGTGGGCCATGGGGGTGTCAGGAGTCCAAGGGCGGGAGGCCGGCCGGGGGCATCGGTGACACCAGAGGGAAGTTCAGGCAGGACTCTGGGGTTGGAGGCAGGCTGGGCCTTGGTGACGCTAAGGGGGAATTCAACGGGCCGGGGTGGGAGGCAGACCAGGCTGCGGTGACACTAGGGGGAAGTTCAGGGTCACGGGTGGGAGGCGGGCCAGGCCTTGGGGGCTTCACGAGTGGGAGGTGGGCTGGTTGGTGGTGACACTAGGGGAAAGTTCAAGGTCACGGGTGGGAGATGGCCGGGCCTTGGGGGCTTCACGATTGGGTGGGAGGTGAGCTGGGCCACAGTAAGACTGGGGGGAAGCTCAAGGTCACGGGTGGGAGGCGGGCCCGGACCTTGGAGGCTTCACGAGTGGGTGGGAGGTGGGCTGTGCCTTGGGGGCTTCATGGGTGGGAGGGAGGTGCGCTGGGCCACAGTAACACTGGGGGGAAGCTCATGGTCACGGGTGGGAGGCGGGCCCGGGCCTTGGGGCCGTCTGGGGCGCTAGGCCACCTCCTCCTCGGCCTCCTCCTCGAACTCGCCCTCCTCGGCCGTGGCGTCCTGGTACTGCTGGTACTCGGACACCAGGTCGTTCATGTTGCTCTCGGCCTCGGTGAACTCCATCTCGTCCATGCCCTCGCCCGTGTACCAGTGCAGGAAGGCCTTGCGCCGGAACATGGCGGTGAACTGCTCCGAGATGCGCTTGAACAGCTCCTGGATGGCCGTGCTGTTGCCGATGAACGTGGCCGCCATCTTGAGGCCGCGCGGCGGGATGTCGCAAACGGCCGTCTTGACGTTGTTGGGGATCCACTCGACGAAGTAGCTGCTGTTCTTGCTCTGCACGCTCAGCATCTGCTCGTCCACCTCCTTCATGGACATGCGGCCGCGGAAGACGGCGGCCACGGTCAGGTAGCGGCCGTGGCGCGGGTCGCAGGCGGCCATCATGTTCTTGGCATCGAACATCTGCTGCGTGAGCTCGGGCACGCTGAGCGCGCGGTACTGCTGGCTGCCGCGGCTGGTGAGCGGCGCGAAGCCGGGCATGAAGAAGTGCAGGCGCGGGAAGGGCACCATGTTGACGGCCAGCTTGCGCAGGTCGGCGTTGAGCTGGCCCGGGAAGCGCAGGCAGGTGGTGACGCCGCTCATGGTGGCCGACACCAGGTGGTTGAGGTCGCCGTAGGTGGGCGTGGTCAGCTTCAGCGTACGGAAGCAGATGTCGTAAAGCGCCTCGTTGTCGATGCAGTACGTCTCGTCCGTGTTCTCCACCAGCTGGTGCACCGACAGCGTCGCGTTGTACGGCTCCACCACCGTGTCCGACACCTTGGGCGACGGCACCACGCTGAACGTGTTCATGATGCGGTCCGGGAACTCCTCGCGGATCTTGCTGATGAGCAGGGTGCCCATGCCGGAGCCCGTGCCGCCGCCCAGCGAGTGCGTCAGCTGGAAGCCCTGCAGGCAGTCGCAGCTCTCGGCCTCCTTGCGGACCACGTCCAGCACGGCGTCCACCAGCTCGGCGCCCTCCGTGTAGTGGCCCTTGGCCCAGTTGTTGCCGGCTCCGGATTGGCCTGGGGAAAGAGGGAGGAGTGGGCAGTGATGGGGACGAGTGACCACGGGCCGTCCCAACCCCAGCATCCCAGCCTGAGAACCCCTCGAACAGTCACATACTTCCCCCGCCCAAACCGACTGTTGTTAGGTGCCGTCGAGTCGCAGATGACTCATGGCTACCCTATGAACGAAAGGCCTGAGCACTGTGCAGAGACTTTGAAAGTCAATTTCACAGCAACTTCACTGTGTTAACAGAGTAATACTGCATGAGGCTTTTCTTTCTCTTTCCTTCCTTCCTTCCTTCCTTCCTTCCTTCCTTCCTTCCTTCCTTCCTTCCTTCCCTCCCTCCCTCCCTC